GCGGGAGCGCCCAGCCGCGCGGAGCCTGCTTATGGGGCGGCGGGACCAGAACCACCCCGTGGCGCGTGGGCCGCGTGCGCTCCAGAGGCGCCGTGACAAACACGGGCCCGCACGCATCGCAGCAGCTCGCCCGTGAAGGCGACTTCACGCATCAAAGCCTCGCCCAAGTTCTTTTCTCTGGACGGCTTTTCTAGCCCTGCCGTTTCTTCCGTTAGTCACGGTTCCTCCGTTACATGTCCCCGAGGACATGCCTTTTTCTACCTGGTTACCTGTCCTGTGCCCGTTGGGCGGGGAGCTCCCTGGGCGCAGGGCCCTCCCCCACTTTCCTAGGTCCTGAGCTACCACGTACAGCGGCTTCCACACAGAGGACAGTCAACAAGGACTTGGTGTATCTGAGGGTAATTCTTTCACTTTTTAATGTGTTCGATCAGGGGCGTGGGCACTGCCTGATGCATTCTGAGACGGAAGGGCGGTGGCTATGACGTAAGGTAACACTAAGTATCACCCCAGGGCTGACAATCCATTTGCATCTTAAATGTGGTTACTCTGAAGGCTGTGAATTACACCTATGATCCTGGAAACCCTGGAAACAGCCTCTGTGGGCAGGGGATGGGGTGAGACGGGACTATTCAGGTGAACTGGGGACCGAGGAAACCCGAGGGAGCTGAGCTGGGGCTTAAGTGAGGCACAGTGGTTTCTGTTAAGGCTTTAAAAATATCCACATGCCGAGACTGGGACAGAAGATAGCCTAAGGAGACAAGATGACCAAACAGAATTCTAATTTACAGAGGCGAGGGGACAGCCAATGACCTTGTTGTGAGGCGAAGATGTGGATTCAGAAAAGCCGTGAACTGACCTCAATGCCTGGGGTCAACCCCTAACTCCTAGGCCCATGGAGAACCCGTCTCCCTCCGCCCCGAGGGTCTCCTCGCTAAAGCGGCGAGATGCAGACGCACAGCTGAGAACAGGAAAGGAGCGCTGAGCGCTTTCCCAGACGCACACACGAGACCTGCATTCAGAGATGTCACACATTACACACCACACCCATCCTCCTCCTCCTGACGGAAGTCTCGCGTTTAAGAGGGACTTAAACAAGGGGAACAGGAGTCGCCCAAAACACGAAATAAAAATAAGAGCATGGAAGAAAGTACACAAACACGTGTACTTTTTTTTTTTTTAACACTTATGGTTTAAAACCAGATATTTAAAAATCCAGACAGTCACGCTTCAGATTTTCAACAATTACACAGATGTTTTCAAAACAAATTTAGATCCTGGGTCAGGGGTAGCTCAATTCAACCGTGAAGAATTGTGGGAGCTTCTGGCACATCTGGTTACATAACAAGGGCCACTCATCAAGGTCACTGACACAGCAGTAAGTTTGGGGGATTTTTCTCCAAGAAAGGACTATTTCCATTGTTGTCCCAATTCCAAAATTGTGTGTGTATATCTAACATCAATCATTTCAATTCACTGGTGTTCCCTGATTTGAGTTTCATACAGAAATAAACATTCTATTACAAGTAATTCCAAACGGGAATAAAACATAATAGCCATTATCCGGAATGCAGCTGAGAGGCTGTGGCCAACATCTGTACTGCTTTCTCAGTGTATCTGTGCCACATTTAAATGACAAAAAGGATATTTTCCTGTGTATTTTTTAACAAGAAGTGATAATAATGATGCTTTGCATTTGCTATAAATAACAGGTTCCATCTAAAATTTTTATTTGCCCTTGATTAAAACTAAGCTCACTGCCTGGAATAAACACGAGCATAAAGAGAACAGTTCTCAGCTGAGGAAACCCGCGGCCTTTCAGCAGGAGCTANCTGACCTCAATGCCTGGGGTCAACCCCTAACTCCTAGGCCCATGGAGAACCCGTCTCCCTCCGCCTCGAGGGTCTCCTCGCTAAAGCGGCGAGATGCAGACGCACAGCTGAGAACAGGAAAGGAGCGCTGAGCGCTTTCCCAGACGCACACACGAGACCTGCATTCAGAGATGTCACACATTACACACCACACCCATCCTCCTCCTCCTGACGGAAGTCTCGCGTTTAAGAGGGACTTAAACAAGGGGAACAGGAGTCGCCCAAAACACGAAATAAAAATAAGAGCATGGAAGAAAGTACACAAACACGTGTACTTTTTTTTTTTTTAACACTTATGGTTTAAAACCAGATATTTAAAAATCCAGACAGTCACGCTTCAGATTTTCAACAATTACACAGATGTTTTCAAAACAAATTTAGATCCTGGGTCAGGGGTAGCTCAATTCAACCGTGAAGAATTGTGGGAGCTTCTGGCACATCTGGTTACATAACAAGGGCCACTCATCAAGGTCACTGACACAGCAGTAAGTTTGGGGGATTTTTCTCCAAGAAAGGACTATTTCCATTGTTGTCCCAATTCCAAAATTGTGTGTGTATATCTAACATCAATCATTTCAATTCACTGGTGTTCCCTGATTTGAGTTTCATACAGAAATAAACATTCTATTACAAGTAATTCCAAACGGGAATAAAACATAATAGCCATTATCCGGAATGCAGCTGAGAGGCTGTGGCCAACATCTGTACTGCTTTCTCAGTGTATCTGTGCCACATTTAAATGACAAAAAGGATATTTTCCTGTGTATTTTTTAACAAGAAGTGATAATAATGATGCTTTGCATTTGCTATAAATAACAGGTTCCATCTAAAATTTTTATTTGCCCTTGATTAAAACTAAGCTCACTGCCTGGAATAAACACGAGCATAAAGAGAACAGTTCTCAGCTGAGGAAACCCGCGGCCTTTCAGCAGGAGCTACTTAGTTTCACAGAGATGGAAGGGGACACTGTAGCAAGCTGAGCAGGTGTAGAACACAGATACACTAACATCTGTAGATTAGGGTTACCAATATTTTTGAGGGGAAAAAGAGAGTTGAAGAGTTTCTTTACTTTCCCCAGACCTTCAGGAGCCTGGGAGGAAGAGGGACATTCCCACAAGAGGAGGGAGGCACCCGCAAGCCTGCTGCCTCACGGGACGCAAGGCCAGGTGCCAGGCACAAGGATGGGGTTGTCCTGCTGCTCAGTCCCCAGTCATTCCCCTCTCACCGTTCACATCACTGGGGAAGCCCCGTGCAAGAGAAAGTCTTCATTCGCCACCAGGAGGTTCTGGGAAGGGCGAACGGGCCCGCTGCACCCCTCTGGCTGTGAGCCCGCTCCCAGCCTTTCTAATGATCATGGAAACTCATTTTGGCTAAAAACTGTAAGGTCAGCAGCACCCCTGTGGATCCAAATGACACATAAATGCTTGGGCAATAACCTGAGGACATTCAGAGACGGAAACACTGTAGATTTTCCCAGGTGCGAGCATCCCTTGGAAATCCGATCACTGATGGCAGGGACGATGACCTGCCAGCTGTCAGCCCATCACTGTGGACAGGACTCAGCTGCGCTGGGCTTTATGCAATAATGGGCACCGATGCGCCAAGGCCCCACTCGGGGGCCGTGGGAAACTGGCCGGCATGTTTAGTGAATTCCACTTGGTTCTATCTGGTTGTGCAGGCGAACGGAGCTGAGGCAACACAATTAGGAGAGGTGCAGGCCTGCTGCTCCCAGAATAAGACATTTCTTTCCCTTGTCCTCCTCTGTCTTCCTTGTTTTTACCCCTCAATGAGCATAAGCGAGAAGCAGAGAGGCCTGTGGACAGCTGGGGGAGCTTTGAAGGCAGACAGTGAAGGGAAATCCAGACAAGTGGGGAGCTCTTCCCCCTCTGCCTTTGTTCCATGTTGACAGAATACAGGCGGCGTCACCCAGAGCGGAGACTAAGTGTGGTCACGCCAGATCTCAGAGCCCCTGGAGGCGGGGAAGCCACAGATCTCAGAGCCCCTGGAGGTGGGGAAGCCACAGATC